ATTGCAACTTCGCTGACCCTAAAATCTCTGTTCCTCGTTGATCAACAATGGAATCCTGGGGTAAAAATCTCATCTATGTGTTCTTTATCTCAGTCTTCTCTTTACCCATTTCGTGGTCCTTGAATTTTACCCTGGAGACTCGTATTTCACTGTTTCTAGCTCGTCGTTGTATCATGGGTTCTCGTATTTGGTGTTTCTCTGTTAGTTTAGTTTCTCTGGATGATCGGTCAAACTATTGATATATGTCTTGCGATCTTTCTGTTTTGAGCGTTTGACCTTACAATAATACTCGTGTTCGTTTGATTTCGATTCTGTTTATTCATATGCTTTCGGCTTATTTTCGTTGCGTCTCATACTTTACAAGTAATCAAGTGGTGAATGTTTGGAGAAATTACTCATGTTGGTTTTTTCGTTTGTAATAGGAGTTGAAGTTAAAGCAGGGAACACTTACACAGCGCCCGTTCTTGAAGACGAACTTATCCACATTTCTCGGGTTATTTTCATGTGGCAATGATCACTTTCTTATAGTTTTCTTACATTCGTTGAACACTCTCTTTAATTTTTCTCTCTCCCTTGACTTTCAAGGGTAAGCAGGAGACTCCGCGATCATATCGGTGAAGCTCCCAAAACAGAAACCGCTCGGAAGCTGTTAGAACAGAAAACCTCGGCGGAGAATTTGGATCTCACTTTCTCCGGGCCCTTCATCCTCTCCCACACCCTAAAAAAAGTGAGTGTTCACTTCCTTGGGTACAAAACTCCCAATTTCAACCGTGCGCCTCGTGTTGTCAAGGCTGACTCAAAAACCAAATTCCAAGGCTGTGTCTAAATCAGATGATAATGACGGATCTCACTTCGAGAAGGAGAAAGTAGTGAGTTCTTTCAGCCGTCTCTCTTGTTTTTTTTTTGTAGATTTACGTTTTGGAGATAATAAATTCTATGGTGATGGTTTTTTTTTTAAACTGATGAAGGAAGGATATCTGTGGGGAAGAAGAAGAGGAAGAATGAACGTGGTGGTGATTACTTCACCTGTCTCTGTTTCTTAGAGAAGGCAGGTGAAGGAGAATCACCACCACGTTCATTCTTCCTCTTCTTCTTCCCCACAGATATCCTTCCTTCATCAGTTTAAAAAAAAAAAACCATCACCATAGAATCTATTATCTCCAAAACGTAAATCTACAAAAAAAACAAGAGAGACGGCTGAAAGAACTCACTACTTTCTCCTTCTTGAAGTGAGATCCGTCATTATCATCTGATTTAGACACAGCCTTGGAATTTGGTTTTTGAGTCAGCCTTGACAACACGAGGCGCACGGTTGAAATTGGGAGTTTTGTACCCAAGGAAGTGAACACTCACTTTTTTTACGGTGTGGGAGAGGATGAACGGCCCGGAGAAAGTGAGATCCAAATTCTCCGCCGAGGTTTATTGTTCTAACATCTTCCGAACGGTTTCTGTTTTGGGAGCTTCACCGATATGATCGCGGAGTCTCCTGCTTACCCTTGAAAGTCAAGGGAAAGAGAAAAATTAAAGAATGAAACAGAGACAGGTGAAAATGACAATACGAAGCAGGAGCAGCAGAAGCCAAGTGAAAGTGCAATGGACTCTAAGAATAAGGCCAGGAACAAGGAGAAGAAGAAACTGAAGAAGCTTCTTCTGAAGCAGAAGCCTGATAAAGAACTAGAAGAGGAAGCAGGAGGACAAGAATAAATGAGAAGAAAAACGACCGGAATGACTAAAGTTGCATTCATGATGTGCGCAACAGCTATCTGTAAGAACTCTTTTGAAATCAGTTGGAATTAAACATTTGTACTAATCAGGAAACAAGTAACATGAAGCTTAAATGGTTTTTGGTTTTAGTTTTACTTACGCCTGTACGCATTTGATTCAATCCACCATTACTACTTCTCACTGTTATGTATTGATCTGCTTCTAAAAATTCAAAAATGTTTCAGGAACCTGAAATGAAATCAAAGAAACAAACCCCCTAAAACAGATCCATCAGAAATTGAATACCTTTGTATTTAGGAGTAGATTTGACACATGGATGCAAACAAAAGCCGAAAGGTAGAAACTCGATGTTGCTGTTGGATTTGGTCATCGGTTTGTATGTTGTTTCTGGAGCTGAAGACAAGAACCACGAAGAAAATCATTTCTGCGTTTCACCATTTCTCCCAACAAGAAAGAAGAAGAAAATCAACACATCTACAACGGTCTCTTTCTCTCCGGTTCGGTATAACGGAAATCCGAGCCCGTTTATAGTTTAAACCGGGACTTTTCGAAGGAACTCTTCCAATTACAACGGTATAAAAACGCACCGGTTCGGTATTAAAATTACAGAATTCGAATTTGATAACTGTACCGGTGATGTCAGTACCGGGAATCTATTAAAACGGTGCGTTTTAGGGAAATCTGTTAAACGCACCGCTTTCGATCGTCTCCAGTGAAGAGAGAACCAAGCTTTCAAAATTCACCTCTATCCAGTGCTATCGTCTTCCTGCACCTAGAAAATTGGGAGCGGAAAATTTCTCTGCATCTGATGTGATTGAACAACAATGGCTTTTTATTTCTCGAGTTCGTTATCACCAACGCATTTCTCGAAACCCTTCTAATGCCCTCTTCCCCATTCGATTTTCGAGTTCTCTGTGTCTAGTTTCGTTCGTCGGAGAAAACCATCGGAAGCTAAATCAATCTCCAAATTCAATTTTTTTCCTTCACGAAGAAATGGTTTGATTACTCACTGTACATCGAGCTTTGAGTCTACTGAGTCTTCCGTTTCACATGCTGAGTCGAATCGTCTGTTTGAGGTTTATCTCTCTGTTTCATTTCTGATCTCAAAATAGTAATGCAGAAGGAATGGTAATTCTTGGGTTCGAGGAATTTAGACCTGTCAAATTCTAGGTTTCTCCTTTCGAACTTGAAAGCTTCATACGTTATCAGCAATTAGGAATTTGAATCGTTTTTTTTTGTGGGTATGTTGCAAGTAGACTACTTTCAGACAAATGTTATTTGGTTGTAGCGTAATTGATGTTCTTAATCAGGCTCATTCCTTTGTACTGAAGACTTTAATGGAGTTTTCATAGCTTTGATTCGTCTTTTGGAAGAGAACGAATTAGCAAGATGGAGAGAAAGGCTAATGTACAATTAGAAAGGCAGCTTGTGATGGCTGAGTAGGACATTATCAACGATTAATCTGGAGAAGAAGAAAACTCAAAAAAGGAGAGAAGTTTCCGTCGTCACATTGTAGACCGAGTGCCAATTGATGGTTGGAATGATGTTTGGAAGAAGTTGCATCAGCATATAGTCAACGTAGACGTTTTTAATGTCGATGTGGTAAGTCTACACTACTGTTGCCACTTTTTTCGTTTGGTCTATGAGACTTCTTGCTCTATTGTTTCGTTTCATGTCTGGATCGACAGTATTATGAGGCCTATCTATGCCAAGTTGTGATCTCGGAACCCCTACCAAAAAGATGAGAACACCCCTCAAGCGCCAAGCACTAGGATCCCTAGGCAAGAGTACACATACACCAGATATTTGATGTTATACTTGTCTATGATTTTATTTGGGAAAAGGTTTTTTCTCTTATATAAAGATGGAGTTACAAGAGATTGTGCGGATTCTAAAGAATGATGAGGAATTTCAGAAGAAAGGCATTTATTGTCCGAAAGGTGTTCTTCTTAATGGACCTCCTGGCACGGGAAAAACTCTGTTGGCTAAAGCAGCTATTGCCGGGGAAGCTGGTTTACCATTCTTTGCGGCAAATGGAACTGACTTTGTCGAGGTGAGGGGTTGATTGTGCGACATGAAAAACAGTCATCTTGGCTTTTTGGGTCTTGAGTTAATGGAGTTTCCTTTTTTATGTTCAAATCTATAGATGTTTGTAGGAGTGGCTGCATCTCGTGTAAAAGATATTTTTGCTAGCTCTCAGTCATTTGCGCCATCTATATAATCTCTGTTGATGAGATTGATGCAATTGGAAGTAAGCCAGGTGGACACTTAGATGCTGCTTTAACAAATTCTTATTCCACTCACTACAGCAAAAAGGGACATTTGAGGCAAAAAAACAGCTCCAAGGATTCCTCAAGTTGGTAA